AAAAAAAAAAAAAAAAAAAAAAAAAAAAAAAAAAAAAAAAAAAAAAAAAAAAAAAAAAAAAAAAAAAACAATAATAATTGAGAGCAAAACACATTTGCCGTATGCTGTGTGAAATCAATTTCGTCTCTTTGTCACGACCTTCTGATGGCGGAAACGGTGTATAGGTGAGCTCATGGTGCGAGAGGGGCCAGCGGAAATTAAAGTGCGAAAAAAAAGAATTCAAGTTTCTGCGTAAAAATAGCGTTTTCATTGGTTTTCCGAAGGGACTCTACGATTTTTTTTTCCATTAGCCGTCGCAGACTGAGAGCCAAAAGCCTCTTTTAACGCCGTGGATTGATTAAGGTAATGGAAGAACAAAGCTGTTATAAATAATCAAGCTAATGTCCCCACGTTTTCACGGCTACACGACTCGTATCAAGTTACTTTTTTTTTTCTCGATTTCGTGCGTATATCTGCAGGAATAAAACGTTCATTTATTGATTAAACACGCACCAAAAGTTTAAAAATCGAACTCATCAGGCTGTGATACATTCACGTACGAGGTTGTAAATAGAAGTATACAGATGCATTTGTAATTTTTCTTGATGATATTTTCTTGGTGAATAACTTGGAAAATCCAAGCGACCGAATGCTCGAGTTAATTGAAAACATAACATTCGCAAACTGTCTGTTAACAAAGATACATTAACCAAAACAGATATATTTAGGTCATCAAAGCAAAAATTGAATCAACAGTTTTATGTTTCGAATCATTACTGCAGAGACGATAACAAGTAATCAAAGCTATTGTACCAGATAAATCAATTGTGTTTATACGTCTTAATAAAGCATCTCGAGTATGACTGTTGAACACAATCATGTGACAATGTTTTGAAGGAAATTTTCAGGCTGTGGGAAAAATGTCTTTTCGTAAGACTTGGAAATATTTTTGGAATAATATAAAACACCTTATCAACCGTCCAATCGCGTATGTATCTTGTGCAGACTGTTTTCAGGTATACTATACAATTTAGTCCAAGTAGACTGCCTTTTTCAGTAATTTTTGTGTCACCTTGTGTCTGATGTATTTATTGATGTTATACCACGTAGAGCCGTAAACATAATGACAGGTATGGAAATATACTACCACCCCTTCGTATCCTATTTGGTATGTACCAATTTTTACAATAGTGATCTAACTGGATACTAACAAACAAAGAAAAAAAAAAAAAAAAATAGATTGTTTAATGATTTCACGCTACTATTGTAAATCATCATCGCCAACAAAGCATCGAACAAAAGTAGGGCATGATATTGAGCGGACTTTGCCTCCACTTGTTAAAGATGCGTAAGAAAATAAGGAAATTTCAAAGTAAAACTATACACACTTTTCTAAAAATACGATTTATCAATATCGACAAACGAATCCATGCGTGGAGATAAAAAGACACGCGCACAAATACATCCAAAGAGCCAAAGGTCTGACTTTGCACCGAATAATAATCACGAATTATCACGGGTCACGTTCATCGGACCGACCAATGATACGAAAAAAACTTAAATGAGACCCACAATCTCGCCATACGGCCCCTCTCCGATAACTCTCCCAATCTCTCCGTGGCGTAATTCAAATCAATACTCCATCGCACGAGATGATCTCGTCCACGCGAAACCCCACAGGCAAATCGACGCCTCCAGCTGTATCTTTCCGATGCCTTTCCAGCGTTTCCCTCGACACCAGAGTACTCAAGCGAGCGTAAGAGCGACAAAATCGGCCTTCCATCAACAATACCAACAACGAATTTCGCTTGCACGCACAATATACACCTTTTGATCCGAATTGTTGATGGGCATATGCGTGCAACATGTATAATAATACTCCCTCGTATGAACACTCATACAGCCCCGTTGGGGTACACTTCTCGTTGTTGATTGCAATCACGAACGAGCCAGGGGCCGCTGACGGTGGCGCACGTGCGCGATTGGGAATCGAGAAGAGAGCCGGCGATGGCGCCTTAAATTTTTAATCGCTCTAATGCCGTTTCGCGTACCGCTGCCCACCCCCTTTTCCTCCCTTATGTGTATATCACGTACCGCTATGTATGTATACGGGGGATCGTGTGTGCACGGGCTCGTTGCAGTCTTTTCCTGGTGCTTTTAGGTATTCCACGTTCCTCGAATCACTCCATACGCGCTGACACTGCCGTGGTCTCGCGCGCGTGTATTGTCCTCTGGCATGCAAATCGGCACGGGGTATTTCTGAAACCCTTTAATTGATGAAAAAAAAGAGGAGTAAAGGGGATGCGAGTGTCGCTGCTTACCCCCAACAATCGATGCAATGTGTGGCTATTACACCGAGGGTTTACTTGAACATTGTGGTGCACGATAATGAACGTTGGATTAAGGATAATTGTGGAAATGGCCAGAGGATGGGAAAAATTGAGGGTTGAAAGGGTTCGATGTTACCACGATCAACGTGGAGGGATGTGTTACGCAGTTTACGATGTGATCCTGTCGAATGAAAATTTGATCTACTCCAGTGGCTCGATCGCTTGCTCTTTGACACGTACGAGTGCAAAAAAGTGCGCGTCGCGTGGGCCATAAAAAAAAAAGGGAGCGTTGTTTCTCCCTCCGTTTTTTTTTTGTGATCGTCGCACACGGACAGATGAGCTCGTACCGCGTATCAAAGGGTGAAACGCCGCCTTTGCCCATTACACGCATTATTACGAATGGGCGTGAACGAAATTTCGTTCTTTTTTTACTCTTCTCTTTCTCAAGATTATCGAGTCGTTCGATGGCTGATTTTTCGCCACGTATCTCTTTTTTCGAGGCCAAGCGCGTGCGGAGTACGAGAAGTAAAAAAGCACAGCAGTTGAATAATCTCATGGGCGTATTCGCTGTTACGTAAAACAATGGCGATTATTCGCCCCTTAGTACCTGCCGTACACCGCGCAAAGCCCGCGAAAAAAGGAGTTAACTGAAATTGATCGTGACGCGGGAGAATTTAGCGAGCAACAAAATTGTACGCCCAACGTGAATGTGGAATTACGTGGTGGAGGCACTCGTGTGATGAAAATTTTAATGCTTAATAAGGGTAAGTAGCCCTTGATACCGTCATGCGGCCGATAAACACAGTTAAATAACGGAGCAGCCATTTGTAGTTAAACTGAACAATTGAATATACACGTCACGATTGTAGAGTCCGTGGAGTGAGTGGCCCCTATTGAGGTCCATTACAGATGCTCTCGAGCGATTCACTCAAGAAAAACTCGATTCACTTGTGCCCCCTGACTTATTACTCTCCTGGGAGGGATGTTTAGCCGGACTATTCCTATTGGGTGGACAGACACCCATTCACGGATCCACACAAATCCAGCTTGTGATTCTTTTTTTTTTTTTCTCAATTTGTATTGGTTATTAAGGTAATTACTGCATGGAACAACATTAAAATAGGTACAGGTAGGAGAACACGAAGAAGAAAAGGCGTTGATTAGAAAAACGATGTGTATGGATGGTTTATGACGATGCGTAAAAAAATTTTGGGTAATGCTAAATAGATGGAAATAATGTATAGAAGCTGAATGCCGTTGGATGTCCTGACAAGAACCTCGTGATGAGAGTCTGTGATCATATCTCACTGATGACCAAGTAACTGTGGTACCCAATCTTATAGTAAATTGAGAATAGCATACCGATTATTTGCTGGAAAGTTTAGTTTCCAAGGTGCCGATTGAAATCGCTCAGAATTTGAAATATCATTTTATTTAATCTTGATGTAGGTGCCCCCTTTTTCTCTGCAATTTAAAAATTTTTTTTTTTTTTCACATCATGTATCTCATTTAATTGACAAATTTTGATAAAATTTTATCATTATTAGCTTACAACATCGCTACGTTACATCATACAGTGGAAAATTACAAGCGTCAGTTCTTTGAGTATAATCAATTTCTGGCTCAAAGAACATCAAGGGTTCCTTTGTCACATTTTTGCTTCACGTGCTTGTCTTTGTCAAAAGATAGCGTAACTTAATTGATCGAAGAGTGAACGTGACTAAGAAACTCTGGCTACATTTGATGCTGTAATTCATTGTAAAAGGTTACCAGGCGTCTTTTCGTTAAAAAAGGGGCTGTTACGTAATTACGCGATTTGACTAAAATTAAAATCACGTGTCATTAAACCAGAGATATCAAACGAGCTTGAAAATGAAAAATAAACAAGGTTTATTGGTCTGAGTCCTCATTAGATAATTTGCAAATGAGCATAACCACTCAAATATACATGACTGCTCGATATAATAAGTACTTAAGAAAAACCTTGTCTACATGGTTATGAATAAAATTAAATTGAACGTGTCAAATTACTTATTTACTGTACATGGACATACGAAAATTTACATCTAATGCCTCACAAAACACCAATTTTAGAAGCAGACACTTTAATTTGGTGATAAAAAATTTTCTTGCAAAAATAAAAAAAAAATACCATCATGCTTTCAAAATCATAAAAATAATTTTTCTACAGACAAAGCCTTTCAAAGCTTTCAAAATCATAAAAATAATTTTTCTACAGACAAAGCCTCCTTTTTTCTCAAGGCGAATAGTTTTTATTTATTCTCTTGGACTAATTTTAACTAATCTTGGACTTTTATCCGTGAAATGTACACGTGTAATTCCGAAAAGATGATATAACCTTTCCAAATTTGATATCGTTGCCTATGACAACGATTGTAGCGTTGCTCAATCATTGATAAGAATTACCCCGAAGGGTTACTCAGAGATAAATATTGCGATGATTTTGCAGACTCCGGTTCGCGAATACAGTGTCCAATGATAAGATATTGTTGTTTGTAAGCGTCAATGGTTTTTTCCAAATCGGTGAGAGATATGTATTTAATCACAATAAGAAAACAAGTGACCACTTCAGGTTTTTAAAAATTAGAATATAAATGACCACTTCGGTTGGAAGGGAGAAATTTGCTTGCGGAATTGTGAAGCCAACAGTGGCAGCTGCACCAGCCTGTGGTGCTTTGTTTTTTTTTAATTTTGTGTAGTACTTAGCAAGTTGCGTTAAATATTTTCGAAAACCAAGTGTTTCAGATTTGTTCCATTGCATCAACCGACGTCTGAAAGGTAAGACTTTATTCAACAACATGCCGTTATAGTTAAAACTTTTCATTTTATGAGATGTTTAATCAGTGGAATAGTTTAGACCCACATATCAAAATTAACCTAAATTCAACTAGTGTTAGGAAGAATATTTTAACAGTTTAATTGATGAATTAGAAATTCATTGAACTTTATTAGAAAAATCATGCATCTGTTACAATAGCATAAAATACCAATACAACATAATTTGAAGTCTTCATATTTGTTTTTTTAAGCAATTTGTGAAGTAAATTTTTTTAGGAAAGGAAATATGTTTAGATAATAATCCTAAGATTTTCGTAAAAGTTTTAATCCAAAAAATAATGTTTTGAAAAGCAGATGTAATTTTAATTACCACTTCGATACACGGCTGAGTCCTATTTTATTATTTAAATGTTGAATGACCCTCTAATAGGATTACTTCGAAACTTTTGACTTCATGGGTGAATAATCCTCCCTTCTTCCAGAAAATGGTCAGTATTTAAAAAATTTCAAATGCTATTAAGTAATTTATTTGGATTTTGATCACATTATTCAATTACTTCATAAAATACATTAATTAGGGTTATCAGAAAGTAATATTAAATAAACTGTATTGGAAAATTTATTATTTCTTTTTAATTTTTTAATCATGAAATATATTTTATTTCAAATACAACGTCTCAATTTCTTTAATTTAAATACAATATTCAATATAAAAGAGTATAATTGACCAATACTTTAACTAAATTAACCAGTCAATTTAAATATAAATCACCTGTGTCAAATGCAAGAGTAATTAATAAGTTTTCCAAGTAATTTTCAATAAAACACAAAAACAATAGATAATTTTTTTGAATTACGTCAATCAAACAAAAAAGTCATTGGAGATTCATTTTGACTACCATGTATTATCAATAATTTTCATTAAATACAAATGTTATTGATAATTTATTCCAACTGTTTAGATTAATAATAGAAGCTATTACAACCTGTTCTAAGGTATTAGTTTGAATAAAATTGTTTAATTATTTTTCAGTAAATGATTAAAATATTTTTAAAAAATAAAGAAATTTAAGTTTTTTTGAATTTAAGTCCACTGAATGAATATAAAACATTTAAATTCAAATATTTTTAATATTTGTCAAAATAATTACAAACACACGTAATTATCAACGTGAAAAGTTATTTTTAAGAAAATTCATTTGTATTTTATTCGAAAAAAAATCTTCTTTTTTCAAATACATTTGTATTTAAAATTTTTCGAATACCAATAACGACTTTATCCATCTCGAATTTCCAACACCTACTACATGATGCTTACACGTACATACATGTACACACCGACTAATTTACGCAATTTTCATTAAATCCCCAAACAACGCCACACTCTTGTCCTTCCCTCCTCTCCCACCGTTAGATTTTTCGGGCTAATTGGAATATTTGAAGGTTTTGGACGTTGATCTATTTTTAATCGAAAAATTAATCAACACTTGGCACGATTATTATTGTAATCATTTGAGAGCAAAGCTCGAGGCTGAAAATTAAATTTTATCCAGAGTTAGGTAGTTGGTAAACTGTTTCTAATAAATTACATTTAATTTTTAATTCATCATTACCATAACTGCACATAGGTGTAGATTGATTAATTTATTATATGACTCGTCAATTAGTACCCGAATCCATGAAGGCATGTTGAATAAACTAACAAGAGAAGTTCATAGAAATGGGAAAAGAAGTAGAACTTATTTCTGTTTCCTTGAAAAAAAATTTTCCTCCTGAAAAAAATGTATTATTCTAGACGTTGTAACGGATTAGCTCAGATAACTGGATGCCTTTTTAAATAACTGGAAATTGTATAAATTTCTTTTTAAATCGCAAATTTAAAAAGTTATCTCGAGCTACTTTTGACTTCTCAACTCGGTGAATCTTATTGAAGAGCTCTTACACGTTTTACGTAACAATTTTACTCTTCATCAATCTGAATTCTTCTTTCAATTTTCGGAAAATTCGCTTACGAGTAACAAATGGTCCTAAAAACTGATGCACTTCAGGTGTTTGGATAAAAGTTTCCAAAATTTTGATTTATTGCATCATAAAACGAACAAAATCCGAACCACGCAGTCTCAGTGCCCACTAAAAAAAAAATGATTTCCTCGCACTAGCTCGTATATTCATCTCAATAGCAGAAAAAAAAAAAAACCTCACCAAAAGTAGGTGCACTCCACCGAGTCGAACACATTCGGCTACCCTTGAAGCCGCGCGCGCGAAATCACGCCTAGAAATGGTTTTTCCCGTGATTGCGCGCAGCTGATTGGCAGCAGGTGAGCGAGCTTTCGCTGCTTCTCCACTCGAGTGTGCTTGATGAAAACGCCCGTGTGCGACCGAGATTCGCGGATCGCTGTGTTATTGGGCCACTCGGGAGAAAAAAAATAATCCGAAAAGGACCAAAATGAAATATTTTCGCTTACACGACAACCCGATACGAGGGTAGGGTTATTGGAAAAAAAAAAACAATTTTTCCTTGCACTCGAAACTTACGTACAGGACAGCAATTTCACCAAGTGCTTCGCAACCGTTTGAGAACTTATTGTTTGGCCACCCCAATGTGTTCAGCGCACCTAAAGTCAGCTCAGCCGACTATGCACTGAAGCTCCTTGGGGCAACAGAGAGAGAGAGAATTCAAGTTGAAACTCGACGGATGAAAAGTAAACCTGACGTGCAAAAGTAAAACAATTCCAGTTGGCTCGAAGGCGCGGACAAGCCAGATGAGTCTTCATTTTCTGTTAATAACGCCGGCAGGTGCGTTAGACAGCTCGTGAACGAAGACTTTGTTGGCACGGTTACATGAAAATAATCAACTCGGTGGATCGATTCTTCCAAAGGCATGTCGAAGATAAACAGTTTTGTTATAAAAATGGGGCATCAAAATAAAAAACTGTTCAACTAGTACAATTTTTAGTAGAACAGTTGATGCACACCCACAACTTTGGGATGGAAACTAGAGTGAGGCTTTTGGAGTAAGGGGAAGCTGCGCAGAGTCACGGCCTAATGCGAAAACAGCACCCTCCTTCCCCAACGCAATTACAAACGGAATAGCCAAGAGTCCATCCGTTGGCTCTTGCTACCTGTACACGTCCACACCCATACAACAACAACATCCAACGCTTCTGTTCTCTCTCGCGAGAGCGTATGTTTGTCTCTCCGGGTCTTTGTTCGCGCAAACGGCCTCTCCAGCCCCTCGATTTATAATGCACGAGTTAACAAGCGCGTTTATGATTGCCTCGGACTATATACCGATGCGCTCGGGGCACGTATACTTTCGTCCTTTGCCGTGGTGCTCAGCTCATTTCGAAAATACTCGTTCCAGCCAATTAACAATAGCCGGATGGAACTCAATTGTCGGCAGTTTCATGGATCCAGGGTCAAGCTCGAGTTGACGAGCGATGCACCAAAGTGGGAGAATGTACCCTCGGTGCAGGCTCGAGTGGGAATAAGAAAGCCCGGAGTGGGTTTATCCGATGATCCCCTTCCGGAGCTTTGTGCGGTCGCTGTCAGAACTTTTCGAGCCCGCTGTGATGATACACGTGGGCACTCCATCAAGGCTCCTGGAGGAAGTGGATATTCGCACTTGAATGCAGCCGCAACAAATAAAAGAGAGAAGAAAAAAGGAGGGATCTTCCAAGTCACTTTAGGGATCTTTGAAGGGAGGCACTCGCGTGGCTCTACATATTGATGTCTCCCGGGATCGTTAGAGAGCTTTTCGTGGTGGTCATCGCTTCGCACCGGTGCTGACATTTATCTGAGCCAATAAGTGTGAAACTTTCTTGGTCATGGTTTTTTCTTGACGTGGGTAGACTTTGTCGTTTGTTTGTGGTTTTATTTACTGTTGGATATGTGTGACGTCGAGTATTAGTTTTTTTACTAAAGACTTCATCGACACCTCCTTCTCTCGGATACGTCGTTCATACGAGGTTTACAGTAGAGGCGTGCCAGAAATATCGAATTTTCTGGCGTTAATAGCTTTCAATCAGTTGTTTTGCCATGCTTTCTTCTGTCGTTTAAAACGTTCGTACCCAAATTTCATTTTTAATGAATAATATTTAAACATCGAAGATAAAAAAAAAAAAAATAAAAAAAAACCGTACCGAGTAACAGAAAACTCAATCCAACATTTTTGAAGGTACACTTTGAAAGCGTAATAAAACCCACGTAATGGCGAAACAGGAGCAGCAAGTATAGATGGAAGGAAAAAGTAGGCAAGGTGTCAGGAGGGTCCCATGTGCTCGTCTCTAGTTTTACAAGTCCGTAAAAAGAGAAAATTTTCAGACCAACTGAGTTAAATATTGCTGATCTTTGCGAGTGTGCACGATATAGTAAGGGGTAAGGGTCGGTGGATGTAGGCACCAAACGAACATAAAACTAAGGATGACTTTTTCGTTCACACATCATTTCTTTTTTGGCTTTTTTCTCTCAACGGGACATTTTCGTATCTTCTTTCTACAGTATAAGAAAATAGTATCATGAACTCTAGGACAGAAGAAAAAATTTTTTTTGTGTAGGATATTATGAAAGTTGCTCTTGGGATTAATGTGTTATTACTTGTGTCTTAAAAAAGTTGTCTATTCATAATAAATGATAATGAATCTTTTAAAGAATAAGTGCTTTACTTTTCACGTGCTCTTATGGGACAACTATGCAGTTAGTAATGAATAATTTGATGGAAGGGATAGTTACAAGTGTGTTACAAAATTTTTTTGCAAAAATTTTAACATATTTTGTAATTTTATAATTTTTTAATGCAGCTGTAAAAAAAATCACTCAGATTAAAAAGTATGTGCTAAATTAGGCAATATTGCGTTACCCAGTAAGAGTACAGCACTTAGTTGCCAGTGTCTCAAGGCTTATCATTTTGTGTTAGTGCCTTTCTTCATTACTTTTTGTTTTTTAATCCGAATAGAGTAAAAATTTATACTCACTCCGGAACGATATTTTGATGCATTTCCTTCTTCCTACGATGAACGTTTATTCCACTAATACCATTACTAACATTCCCGGTTTTTAAAAGCTAATAAAAACTGACCAGAGTCTCAAATGCTAACTCCATACGTGGTGCACACGCTCATGGACTGAAAATCGCATAAGTATCGGAAAACGAGAATTCACACAAGTGCGAGGTGGGACAATGGTAGCGCTTACGATCGTGCTCTCGCGGCACTTTAATACTAAAGGAGCTCTTCTCCGTTAAGAATAAGGAAGTGGCAGTTTCGCGGCATGTGTGTGTGTGTGTGTGTTTATGTAAAGGTGTATGAGCGGACGAGTAAATGCAAAATAACGTCTCGGTTGGGGTTCAGGAAATAGCAAGCTTTTACGGAACTGATGGCTCGCCGGATGGATATAATCTGGAGATGGAACCTAAAACGTTCAGGTATACGGTTATGCGTTAGCTCGAGAAAACATGTGGGCCTTTTTTATTTATTTAGAAGTTCTTTTTTTTTTGCAAATGGGAATAATAAACTTTTTCTTTCTTTTTAAAGTCATTTTCATCAGTCGTTAAACCGACATCAGGTTTTAAGGTCATCTACCATTGAATAATCGTATGTTCTAAATTAGGAAAAAAAAAAGATTGAATAAATAACTCATGAATGATTTACAAAGCTAGATAATTAGAAATATATATGTATGTAAAATACTCACTGCTTGTGTCCTGTTTCGGTTGATTTCCAGGTGACGTAGTCCAGTTGACTTTCATTTCCTGAAAGAAAGAAAACAAACAATTTAGTTAAAATTAAACTTAAAAGAGACTACATGGGGCTAAATGATGATAAGTTTATTTAAGAAAGAACTGTTGGCTTTTTTTTAATGAAACCACATTCGTAATAATAATTTTCATTCTGACTTTGTCACGACAAACCTGCAGGTATACACTTTTTTCACTTCTCTCTTTTGATCCTTTACTTATTTCCTTTCTAATCAAGTTAAAGCAAAAAAGACTGACAATTGTTGCCAAAAATCCAATTCGCAAAGTAAATGAACTTTAAGAACACTCAAATCAAACAACGCGGAAGTAAGACAGCATACACCTATACATATGATCTATACCATCACCATCGGATGTTTACACGAGTATGATTTGTCCCGTAATTAGATGTAGTGATTGCACATTGCCGTTAACGTGGCATTTGTTTGTCGTTGAGAAACACCAGCAGCTGCCACCACTGCTGCTACTACTGGTTACATACTATGTGTACCAGGCAACGATACTCTTAACATTGCTTGTCTAAGCTCGCTCCTGACTGCTGTTTGTACTGTGCACCTCCTATTATCGAATCTATTTACGCTGAAACAAGGTTGCATCTATCTGTCCCCCCCCCCACTATCATTTTATCCAAGAAACAACCAACATTTTCGTGATATTGGAATATTCCAGTATTTCGTATGTATTTATTAGTGCTTTAAATTCCACATTTGTTAATGGATTCAATTTTCAAGATGCTCAAAACTCAACCGAACAGCATGGCGTCAGAGCAAAGGTTGGAAGAGGGAGTATGAGGTAACAAACTGCCAGACATGTCATCCAGGAAAATCAAAGTGGTGGCTATCTGCGTGATTAAACGACAAATACTCGACTGCTGAGCAGTGGCGTTGGCATTGGTGTGCAAACAGAGAGTATCTCCTGTGCAACGATACACATCTATGGCAGTCAAGGTTGTACCTTGATTAAATAAAACAGTTAAGTAATAGAACAACTGAAATTGGACAGTAATGAAAAAGGACGCCAAATCTAAAGTACGAAATGATAAATTCTCAAAACAAGGTTAAAATTAATACAATCAAATAAAAAAAACTCGAGCAGGAAGCTCTTGAAGTCAATGTACTCGTTTCAAAATCGAATCACAAATAATCCTAAAAGCTAAGATCATAGAAGAATAACCACACGTATCTGTCCAACCTGAGCATCACACTGTGCCGAATCGAGCTCTTATTTTTATCGATGGGTTCCTCTTAAACCCTATCAGTCACTAATCACGAACACACATTAATTCATCCCGCATGACATCCCCCTACGCTGAACATACATTAGAGAAAGGGGAGAGGGTCCTGACGTGTGCTGATCAATGTACAAGAGGCGAATCAGGTGGATAGGCGTTTTGCTCATTAGAGTAATTTAATACGCTCGTCATCGTTAGCGCCGGTATCGTTTTCCTTCCTTTGTATCCTCCCCTTCTCCTTTCTACCATAAACGCGTGCAGTATACACATGCCGTACCCCAAATGGTCGTCGTCATGATCATGGATGTTCGGGGTGGACGACGAGAAAACGAGTCAACCACAGAGGCGACCATTAGTGCACCTCGTACCCTCCTCTCTTCCCCCTCTTCCGATAATTGAGTGGAATTATAACAGCCAGCTCTCCATGTACGTACCTGTAGCAACATTCGGGCCGTACCGCATGTCCCTATACGTATTTTATTTTATCCTGCATTGCTAGCTTGAATTATTTGTACGCGTGTGGGTGAAATTTTTTTTTTTCCCTTCAGTGGATAGGTTTGGATGGATGAGGATAATTTTTTCGACTGTAAATCATTTAGAAGGATCGGTTGATTTGAATGTGTTTGAGGCCGCAACTTGGATATTTCTCTAAGTATAATTAGAACCGCTACCAACCTCATTTTTTATATTTTGTTGGAATTTATAGGGTACTAAAGGCTTTATGAGGTTCTTTTCAAAAGCTGCATCTGTAATCTTGAGAACAAGGCGATTACGGTAACTAAAGTATCAAACTTGTCTCTAAGTTAAACTTGGTTACCATCGTTAAAAAATCCCATTTCGAGATTTTAATTCCGTCTAAATCTATCTTTCAGTTACAAACTAGTCACGCAATTCTGAAATTTTAATATTCAAGAAAAAATACCAACGAGTGAACGATCATCTGAGCTTTTTTGCACGTTTTCAAAATCATCATTTGGAAATCGGACCTCACAAATACCTTGAAATTGTCCTGATTCTTGATCCCTACGGTAGCCCCATCATTTCTTTATAGCTTGACAAATTTATTGGTAAAATGATGATCCACCGAACCTAAAAAAAAAAAATTACCAATCGAATCCTTGGATTTCTCCGAGCCCGGCCTTCGATTGTCACACACACACGGACTGTACAATATTGTACGCTTGGAGATCGCTGTACCAGCCAGGCGATATTTATCGTCCTCTTATCTTGATTGATACTTAGTGGCCGGCCGATCGCTTCCAGCGTAACAGATTCCTCGGATATATCTGTACGTACAACGCAGAGAGGAGATAAAAACAGCACACCGAGACAATCCTCAGACGCTTGGTTTTTTTCTTTCATCCCTTTCTCTGTTTCCATCTCCTGGAGACTTCCCAGCGTTATACCGCATGGCTGCCCATTACCGCGTTCAGACGTATCCATTAGGTGGCCAATGGCCAGTAGAGTCGGCAAAACCACACGTTGGGTTGCAACTCGAGTTGTTATACATACATGTGTACTCTTACCAATGATGCCGCACTGACATTTTAGATTCATGTTCGTTGCATAGCGTTATGCAAATCCAAGTGCGCTCAAACAAAAGCACGGTATAGTTTTGAAAAAGACGTTGCTTGATACCTTCTTCACCCCTCCTTCGGCTTCTTCTACATAATTCTCGAGGTGGAAGAAAAAAAAACACGGCAAGTGTTACCCATATGTTTGCGTCTCCGAAGCTCCACGTCCAACTTTTCCACCGACCAGGCATTCCCTATTCATTCATTGTCCGAAGCGTTTGCCCGAGGATTCGGGAAGGCAAACTTTTCTCGCGTGTGTCTGGTCCTCTTGGAATCTCCAGTGTTCTTCTCGCATCTCTCTCGCGCGAAACTTAGCCCCAGATCCCCGGATAGCAGCGGCTCCTTGACGTTGAGCGCACGCAAGAACCATCGCCGCCCTTTCCTGCGCACACGCTTCCTTCGGGCTTCGTGGCAAGTCCTACAAACGTATACCTTTCTCTCGTTCATCCCTGCGGTTGACCCACCCTCTCGCCGTTGCGCGTCTGCTCGTGCAAAAGTTACTTTTTGCGCAAGCTCCCTCCTGCCTTCGAAACGGTGGATAAATAAAAATGCCAAAGCTTGAGATTTCGGCCTTGGGTTGGGCTTTTATTTTTCGGGCCCATCACTGGCACGAGAAGGAGTTTGTTGGAAATAAATAAAGTTGACTTTTTGTAATGGTTGGTAAAACAAATGTCAGTGCTATGTCTACCGTGAATCTTCACTCAAGTGATCAATTTTTTCCTTCTTTGTGGAAAGTCGCATGAAATAAATCATTGCCTTTTTTTCATCATTGTCCGAAAAGCTGTGATCTTTGCATAAAATGAAAAACAAAAGGTGTTTTTTTTCTTCCATATTTATGGTACATTTAGCGCGACTACAACGCACGAGCCTGGGACGAGAACAAATGGCAGTGTGATCATTCAAAAAACATAAAACTTGGGATAGAGCGCTTATCCTTCCTAACGAATGGATCGTAAAACATTTAGATAGCATCTGCATTGATGAGGAAACAAAAGCTCACGCTCGCTCAAATTTTACTTCTTATCGCCATTCGTTTATTTTTGCCGATTAATCAGAGATTAGCAAAAATATTCGTCCCATAAACTGGTTATACGCCACCGAAAATTAATTCTACTCTTCCTTGTACGGTTAACTTTTTTAAGTTTTATTTTTAATCATACATTTTAACAATAGGTACATATGACAAAAGGGTTGAAATATCAAGTATTCACGAGACACAAAAATAATAACACCATGAGCTCTTTTTACCAAGGTATGGTTTAAGCGTAGAAAAATTAATTGAAAAGTAAATGGATACGTATACTTTGAACTTTAGGAAATATCCACTAGGTGTACATGCTGTTTTAACACTCGTAAATGCGATCATTCACAGAGTACTGGTGCTTTTGCAATTATAAACGAGTTAATTGTGATGGAAGGCCAAAAAGACAAAGGCATTAATAATGAAACATTGACAGGCTCCGACGAACACATGTACACACCCAGTAGACTTCACCCCCTACCCATGTGGTGCACCGAACGCAACAGGCGCCGCTTGTGGGTGTGCACCGTGTCGACGAGCCCCGCGAAAAACAAAGGCATTTTTTGCACCCCGGCCACCCCCCGATTGCCACACGGCTGCTCATTTTGCAGTCAATCGATCGGAACTCTCGACGCAATACATCAAAGGCTCGATCCGACGCTCATGACGAGAGTTGTATTTATAAGCGCGTTATTCGACCCCACGGCCCGCTAAACGGGAAGCGGGTAAGTTGAGCGCTGGTATTATCGATTGCATTCCTCGAATAATGATTAATATTAACGCTACGGCCTGCAGCGCGCGTTGGTGCTCGTGTGTGTGTTTGCACACGTACATTATGCACGAAAACAGGGGAGAGTTAACTCGTTTGTGCTGAAAGTAACAACGATGCACTTTGAATGTGGATAATGTTGGAAAACGGGATGGGGAACGCTGTTGTTGTTGTTGCGTTATTTTATTTTTTAATTGGTTAGTTGTTTATTAATCTATTATCAAGTATTATGCAGTCATGTCGATAGTTCGCGGCACAATGCCGATGTAACGAGTTTTTTTTCTTTTTTTTTTTTCATCGTTATTTTATCATGAAAAGTTTTCTGTGAAATGCGTTTTAATTATAACTTTTTACCGATATCGGATGTTCTTTCGTAGGAACTCTATTTTTATGCTTTTT